ACGGGGCCCCGGGCTGACCGCGCCGCCGGCGGCACGCGCGCTGCCGCGGGCTCCCGGGGTCCGCGCGGCGCTCGGCTGCGCCTTCCCCGCGGGCTGGCGCACCCGCACGCCCAGGCAGCTCGGCCCACCGAGCGCCTGCCGGCCACAGAGCGCGCCGCGCGGGGGAGCTCAGCCGCCGGCTCCTGGCCCCGCCGCCAGCCGCCCCGGGGCTACCGAAGTTTCTCGGTCACGTGCACGCCCCTGCGGGCCGCAGGTCAGCGCTGAGTGACAAAGTACAGGGGGGAGAGGGGGCGCGGGGGAGGCGGCAGGGCGGGCTGCGCGGAGCCGGGAGCGATCAGTGCGGCTGCTCCCAGCGAAGCCAGCGTTCGGAACCCGAGCCAGAAGCGGGGTTGGGGACTCGAGGAGGGGGAGTCTGGGTACGCACGTGGCCAGGGACATTCTGAACTGGGACAGAGGGACCTGCGGGGACTTGGCATAACTTGTTGGCAAGGGTGTGCGCCTTCGCTGACCCCCCCTGTCCTGCCCCTCCGTTCGGTTCCCTTTTTGACAGTGCAAGGAACCGAGGGGCTCAGCAGAATTGGAAAAGGTAGGCGGGAATCCCTCGTCGAAACTTTCTCCTGTTAAAACATTATGAGGTTAAAGCATTATGAGATAAGGGCATGCAGCTCTTTAACAGAAAATATGTAAAACCAGAATGAAATGAACAGTTATACGGCTCACATTTGTACAACATTTAATCGCTTCTCGGCCTTTTGGCTAAAATCAGGCGCATTTGTACAACACTTTACAGTTTGCAGGGCGCATTAACATGGATTACTCCGTTTCTTAAAAGGATCTTGTGTGTGTAGGAAAGGATTCTAAATGTATGTGTTTCGAGACAACCGAGAAATGTGTATGTTAACGAACATATTAAGCATCTACTAGGCGCTAAGAACCAAGGCTACAAAGATGAGGAAGAGAGACTTCCTGCCATTAAGGGGCCTCATCTTGGGGCCCGGAGAGGGAGGTAGATCAGCACATTGAACACGAAACACATACTGGTAGTAAAACAGAGCAAATGCTGTGATGGAGATCTGGAGAAAGGGCCCTCGGAACATGAAGGAAGGAGCAGTTTAGTGGGGAGTGGGGGAGAGTGGGCAACACCACAGTAAAGAAGGGGTAACATCCCAATTGGTATTTGCAGAATGGGCAAGGTTTGTGCTATTGAGGGATTGGGGGTGGAAAGGGGACAGGGCAGGGGGAATTCTGGGCAGAGGAAAGAAAGGAGACAAGGCAGAAAGGTAGAAAATTCCTCTGAAAACAGAGTGGTTCTAGGCTTGAGGAGAGTTCCTGGAGAGAGACTCTAGATGCTTAGGAATGAATGAATGTATATGTGAAACGGGGATGAGATGTGAACATCAGAAATGGTGAGAATTGACTCTGGTCTTTCATGGCTGCCTGACATCACAATTCCCTTCTTATTTTCAAGGAATCCCAACTATGGAAGCCAAAAAGTCTAGAGCAGTCTGCCCAACTGGGGACCCTCTCACTCAGAGCTTTTTGAACCTGGAGAACATGAGGCAAGAAGCAGAGTCAGCGGAGAATCAGTTTTGCTGCTGAGGTGGGCAGCTGGCGTCCAGTGTTCACAGGCCAGCCATGGCAGAGGTCGGGCCATCAGACTACTGTGATGTGTGGTTTTTGGCTGTGCTCTTGGTTGTGTAGCCTCTCTGAGTTCCAGCTCACTTTCTACACCTGGCTCTTCAGACTTCCTGGCAACTCTGTGAGCCACCCCATATCCTCTTGTAAATTCTCTCTTTGGCCAGAGATGATTTCTGAAGCTTGCAATTAAGAACCCTGACTAATATGCTGTGTGAGAGAAATTTGGAGGATTATTTTCTTTCATATACAAAAGAAGGAAGGAAGGAGGGAGGGAAGGAAGGAAGGGAGGGAGGAAGGAAGAAAGGAAAGAAGGAAGGAAGGGGAAAATCGAAATAAAGGAGATACCTAACATTTGTGGGTTTCCTATTAGGTTCTAGACACAGTCCTAGATGTTTCACAAGCTTTCTCGGTTAACCCTAATGAGGAAACTCAGGCCCAGAGAATTTAATTATCTTCTTAAGATCAGGTAGCTAGCAGGTGGCAAGGGTAGGATTTGAACTGAGATCTTGTGGCTCAAAGCATATTCCCTTTGCACTATAAAACTGACCTCTAGACCAGAGGATTGATATGATGATGTATTTGTATCATCTACAGATTATTTACACACATTTACTGTGTGTGTGTGTATATGCATATGTGCCCATGAACACAGAGCATAAGGGTTTGAATAGTGTTTAGTATTTAAGCATACATAACGATGGTATTTTATGCAAAACTTGGACATTAGAGTTGAGAAATTGGAAATGGGGGATGGACTGAGCTAAGGGAACCTGGATGTGCATGGAAAGTGGAAAGTGAGAGCCCACAGAAGTGAGCTTTGAATGTGTGCTTGGAGTTTGTTTGTCAGCAAGGAGTCAGGGCACTTGGGGAAAAGTTTGTGCCAGAGTGAATCATAGAATGCAGGGGCCTTGTCCACCATCCAGGGAACGTATTTTCTGTGTAGCACCCTGCATGTCTATCTTCTAGCTAGAGAGATACAGTTGATCAGCATCTTCCTGAGTGGGTGGAGCCTGGGCCATCCCTAAGGAGATGCTAAACTGGACTAAATCATGGTGTGTACCCCTCCCTAATGCATGTTATTACCAAGGTGATGGAGGGTTAAGAGGAACTTTAAGGGTACACCTGATGATTCAAAACATGCAGCCTAAAGGATGGAGGTAGGAGGAGGGTGGGACAATGGTATTATTTTGCTGTATTGGTGGAGGTAGCAGGATATGACACCAGAACCCTGGTGCTCTTCCAAGTGTGGTGTTTGAACTTCGGCATCAGAATCACATAAAAGTGTTTGCTTAAATGCAGATTACCAGTCTCTACTAAAAACTATGAGATCAGAAATTCTGGGTGGGACCTGGAAATCTGCATTTTAGCTGCCTTCCTCACATTCTTCTGAAGCTCGCTAATGTTTAAGAAGCATTACTTAATCACTTTTTTGTTTTTCTGGGAGGCTGTTGAGTTGATGTTTGCAAATAAGCCTCAGATTCAGATCTGGTTAAGCTCCAGTGGTCCGTTTATCCTGGCCAAATGGGACAGGACCCCCATAGAGATGAATTTTTCACCGCCAAGGGAAGGGTCCGGATCCCCAACACTTCAAACGTTCTGCTGCAACCAGAGACAAAATGTCAGAATATAGTCCTGTGTGGGACCAGATCAGGATTCCCAGGAAGCCACAGCTGGAATTGTATATGATGGGGAGTGGGTGTGGACTGACAGGCGGCTTTGCCAAAGTTGCACCCTTTAGAACAGAATTAGGACATGGAGAAAAGAGAAGTGAACCACCGCAAGGAGACAGGCTGGTAGCTGGTAGCAACCACATAGTTATAAATATAATGCAGCTGAATCCTCTTTAAAACATGATTTCATTGCAGGCACATAGGCATGCATGCACATGAATTCTGCTGAACGTAGATCTTTTTAAAGCACACAGATAATATCACGTTTCTACTTCTCTCTGATCTGTTCTTCCAGGAGGAATCTATGAGGTGTGACTTTAAAACAGATACCATGTTTCTTACCTAAGTTTTGTTCCTCTTTCCTTCCCTTGTGCTACCTTTTCAGTTTGTTAATGTTCCCCATCCCCCATATCTTCAAAACCACCTGCAATGAATTATAATTTTTTTTAAAAAAATCTAAATTAAAGTGATAAACTAAAATAAATAAACAAACAAACAAATACCGGAGACTCTAGGCACCCTGTACTGGAAACATTTTCAATCTGGAAGCCGTTTCATATTGCAGAATAAATTGTTTCATTAAGAAAATGCTTTAAAGAAAGGAAATGCAAATATAAAGCACATGATGCCAAAGAATTTTAAAAAGCTCTACTGCCAAGAACAGTGGTAAGTATATAATAAGTAAAAGATTGGGAGCATGTACTGAAAATTTCACATACTTGAAGCAGATTTAACCCAAGAGCGTGCTGTCTCAGGCTTCAAATCAAACTGCGGTGGTGCAGTGGGGGCAGAATTCCATGATGTCTGCTTGCCCCGTGCTGAGGCCAGACCCCACCAACGGTGGGCGGCTCCCACCTGAGCTAGCTCTCTATGCTTTCCCCACAGAGGTCTATCCAAGGATAATGTGCAGACAAAAAGAGCAGAACATCAAACTACATTTAGGGCATGGTCTCAAATATGGAAAATGTATTTAAAAGAAATAATGGAAACAACAAAAGAGTAATAATGGTTATCTCAGATAGGATAGTCATTCATTTATATTTTCTTCTTTAGATTTTCTACATGCTCTAATAGTTCTACAATGAAGAAAGAGTTGCTTGGACAAAAGATACAGCTGTGCCACAATTTACTCAGTCTCTAGGACATCCCTGGAGGAAGGAGAGAGTCACCAGGAAGGTGTGACGGGTGTTTTATCAGGCCTGTATCTTTAGCCAGATACAAAGCCCCCAAATGTACACCTGCACTCATTCTGTCTCAATCATGAGCTGTTA